TTACTTGTAAATTGCAGTTCCAGCCACAACTGCTTTGCAAATAGCATGTTAACATTGTCTGAGAAACTGCTTTGGTTAAGCAAGTAAACCTAAACACAGTTCATCACAATTGCTAATGTGGTTAATTAGTAGAAGTGTATTTGTGAAAGTATACTTGAAACAATATACAGTTAAAGTCGGAAGTTTACATACACTTAGGTTGGAGTCATTAAAACTTGTTTGTCAACCACTCCACACATTTCTTGTTAACAAACTATAGTTTTGGCAAGTCGGTTAGGACATCTACTTTGTGCATGACACAAGTCATTTTTCCAACAATTGTTTACAGACAGATTATTTCACTTATAATTCACTCTATGACAAATCCAGTGGGTCAGAAGTTTGCATACACTAGGTTGACAGTGCCTTTAAACAGCTTTGAAAATTCCAGAAAATTATGTCATGGCTTTAGAAGCTTCTGGTAGGCTAATTGACATCATTTGAGTCAATTGTAGGTTTACCTGTGGATGTATTTCAAGGCCTACTTTCAAACTCAGTGCCTCTTTGCTTGACATCATGGGAAAATCAAAAGAAATCAGCCAAGACCTCAGGAAAAAAACTGTAGACCACCATAAGTCTGTTTCATCCTTGGGAGCAATTTCCAAATGCCTGAAGGAACCACGTTCATCTGTACAAACAATAGTATGCAAGTATAAACACCATGCGACCACGCAGCCATCATATTGCTCAGGAAGGAGACGCATTCTGTCTCCTAGAGATGAACGTACGTTGGTGCGAAAAGTGCAAATCCATCCCGGAACAACAGCAAAGGACCTTGTGAAGATGCTGGAGGAATCAGGTACAAAAGTATCTATATCCACAGTAAAACAAGTCCTATATCGACATAACCTGAAAGGCCGCTCAGCAAGGAAGAAGCCACTGCTCCAAAACCGCAATAAAAAAGCTAGACAACGGTTTGCAACTGCACATGGGAACAAAGATTTTACTTTTTGGAGAAATGTCCTATGGTCTGATGAAACAAAAATATAACTGTTTGGCCATAATGACCATCATTATGTTTGGGGGAAAAAGGGGGAAGGCTTGCAAGTCGATGAATACCATCCCAACCGTGAAGCACAGGGGTGGCAGCATCATGCTGTGGGGGTGCTTTGCTGCAGGAGGGACTGGTGCACTTCACAAAATAGAAGGCATCATGAGGAAGGAAAATTATGTGGATATATTGAAGCAAAATCTCAAGACATCAGTCAAGAAATTAAAGCAAATGGGTCTTCCAAATGGACAATGACCCCAAGCATACTTCTAAAGTTGTGCCAAAATGAATTAAGGTATTTAATACAAGTTATTAGAGTGACCATCACAAAGCCCTGACCTCAATCCTATAGAACTTTTGTGGACAGAACTGAAAAAGCGTGTGCGAGCAAGGAGGCCTACAAACCTGACTCAGTTACACCAGCTCTGTCAGGAGGAATGGGCCAAAATTCACCTAACTTATTGTTGGAAGCTTGTGGAAGGCTACCCAAAACGTTTGACCCAAGTTAAACAATTTAAAGGAATGCTACCAAATACTAATTGAGTGTATGTAAACTTCTGACCCACTGGGAATGTGATGAAATAAATAAAAGCTGAATGAAATAATTCTCTCTACTATTATTCTGACATTTCACATTCTTAAAATAAAGTGGTGATCCTAACTGACCTAAGACAGGGAATTTTTACTAGGATTAAATGTCAGCAATTGTGAAAAACTGAGTTGAAATGTATTTGGCTAAGGTGTATGTAAACTTCCAACATCAACTGTAAATATACTTTAAAAAAAAAAGAAAATTCAGGAGTTCAAATTCAAATAGCATATTAGTATATTTCTTATTGATGAGAAATACACATAAAATGTACTTAAGGCGTATTCAAAGTATATTTGTTTTTCTCTTTATCGAATATACATTAAGTACTAAAAAGTGTCCACATTTAGATAATTTTAAATGTATAAAAAAAAGTAAATGCTAATACAATACAAATAAAATTGACATTAAATGCATTAAATGTATTTACAGTGCTTTCAGAAAGTACAGAAAAGTGCCTTCAGACCCCGTTACCTTTTCCACATTTTGTTAGGTTACAGACTTATTCTAAAATTGATTAAATTCTTTTGTCCACTTATCAATCTACACACAACACCCCATAATGACAAAGCAAAAACAGGTTTTTATAAATTTTTGCAAATGTATTAAATCTAAAAAACGGAAATATCACATTTACATAAGAATTCAGACCCTTTACTCAGTACTTTGTTGAAGCACCTTTGGCATTGATTACAGCCTCGATTCATCTTGGGTATGACGCTACAAGCTTGGCACACCTGTATTTGGGGAGTTTCTCTCATTCTTCTCTGCAGATCCTCTCAAGCTCTGTCAGGTTGGATGGGGAGCGTTGCTGCACAGCTATTTTCAGGTCTCTCCGGAGATGTTCGATCGGATTCAAGTCCGGGCTCTGGCTGGGCCACTCAAGGACATTCAGGGACTTGTCCCGAAGCCACTTCTGCATTGTCTTGGATGTGTGCTTAGGGTTGTGGTCCTGTTGGAAGGTGAACCTTCGCCCAAGTCTGAGGTCCTGAGCGCTCTGGAGCAGGTTTTCATCAAGGATCGCTCTGTACTTTGCTCCGTTCATCTTTGCCTCAATCCTGACTAGTCTTCCAGTCCCTGCCGCTGAAAAAAATCCCTGCAGCATGATGCTGTCACCATCATGCTTCACCGTAGGGATAGTGCCAGGTTTCCTCCAGACGTAATGCTTGGCATTCAGGCCGAAGAGTTTGTCATTATGGGGTATTGTGTGTAGATTGCTGAGGATTTAAAAAAAATGTAATCCATTTTAGAATAAGGCTGTAACGTAACAAAATCTGGAAAAGGTCAAGGGGTCTGAATACTTTAAAAAGGCAGTGTAAAAATGTTCCAATTTAGATAATTTTAAATACACTTAAAATATGTCAATGAAGTATGATTGAAGTATATTTAAATATACTATTTTTCCACTTGGGAAGGCTGGTGGAACCTTTCATAGGCAGTTCTAGGAAGAACCTTTAGATGATAAAATGGTTCTTGGTAGAACCCTTCATAGAGGGTTCTAGGTAGAATCATATACAGGGGGTTCTTTGAAGAACCCTACATAGAGGCTTCTAGATAAATCCCCCTGCAAAGGGTTCTACCCAGCACCAAAAAGGGTTCCCCTATGGGGAAAAAACGAAGAACCCTGTATGGTTCTACTTAGCACCTTTTTTTCTAAGACTGTATCCGTGTAGCAAGCATGTGAATATATTTCACATGCTTTGCGACTGTGTAGGCTACTTTATGCATGATTTCTCTATTGTATTATATTTTTCAACGAAAGTAAAGGACAGTAATGTTATGAGTAAAGTAGGAAAACCAGGTTTCAATAGGCGATAAGATATTGTTTCAGGAAAGGAGTGTATATATTTGGCCTGGCAAAGCGTTTTTATGCGTTAAGTGAATGGAAGCTGATAATTATAATACTTTTTTACTCCGCTGGTCTCGACTGGTCCTCGCTATCTGAGACCGAGTCGAGATCGAGTAAAAATCTATCTGACACTGAGACAAGACCGATACACTCAATATGTGGTCTCGAGACCAAGACCGGTCTCAAGTACTACAACACTGAACAACACTGTACCCTAACTGTACTCTCATTTTTGCAGAATATAGTATGAATAAGTATGAACCTGGTGGCACGGCAGAAACATTGGTGCACTCACAACCAAGAGGTTACAAGTTCAAATAATTAATGTATACTCTAAGTCAGGAGTACTTGAGCACTGCTAGTTTTATGTTGGTGGTGATAATTGGACAATTATTTACTTGATTCTGGGCAGCTTTTAGCAAAGTGCAGAAATGCATTCTAACAAAAACATATAGAAATTTATGTATGTATGTGTGTTTATATATATATATATATATATATATATTTGGGAGAAAAATAAACATATGGGGGATTGGAAGTGATGCAGACAATTACATTGATGGAAGTTACAATCTATCTGCAATATTAAAGCTGATCTACCCCCCCCAAAAAAAAAATTATATATATATATATATATATTTCACAACTGTGTTTTCATGTGTAGTTTCATGGTATCACATGTTGAAATTTTGCATCCCGATGTTGTCATATTTATTTCACATTAATTTCATGAGATCATGTTCTCTCTCACATGTGCTCTAATGTTATCATGTGTAGTTTTATGTTATCACATGTTGTCAAATGTTGCTTCACATGTTGTCACTTGTTATTAACATTAACTTCACATGAAATCACACAAGATCACGTGTTCACGTGTTCAAATGTGAATTTCATGTTTTTTCTCCCATAAGGATATGTCCTGCTGTTTGTCTTTTCCTCTCTCTTTGCTCTCTCCTCTCGCTTTTCTTTCCCCCTCTCTCGTTTTGTTCTATTTAACTGTTCCAATTCATCTCCTCCACGGTGCTTTCATCGTATCTGGTATGCTATGGCTTTGGTGTGTGCTGCCAAACATGATCTGTTACACTGTCTGAGATTACTGTGCCAAATCTCCTCTCTAATTTATGTGATCTCCATCTCCACTGCTGATTTCCTCTCTATTTATCCTTGATTTCTTCTTTCTTTTTTTCTCTTATATCTCAATATTTCTCATTTTCTTTCTTTCACACCCCACTCTACCCCTCTTTACATATCCATGGCTTGTCTCTCTTCACTCCCATGCACTTTCTATCCTTCTCCCCCTCCTTTCTCTCCCGTCCTCTTCTTCCTCCACCTTCTGACCTTACCTGAATCTGTCTTTTACCTTTCCTATTTTCTCCATCTCAGTCCATCACCTTCCTCCAACCCCTTTATCCCCTCCTCCTCACCCTCCTTTCCTCTCTGTCCCTCTCTGTAGGAGTAGGTGACAGTCAACATCCCTCCAAAGCCTGTTCCTCATCCCCGTCTCCTTCTCTCTGTCTCTCTTTATATAGGAGTGGGTGACAGCCACCGACCTGCTGATCTCTCTGGATAGGCTCAACACTTTTGGAGACGAGTTCTTCAAGGACGCCAAGGTGCTGCGATCCTACTTCTACGCCATCTCTGATTTCTCTGTGGGAGCCAGGTAACACACACCTGACATCTGATTGGTCCTCAGAGGCCTTTGTCTGTAATCGTGGATACTCCCTCCAAAAACTTCAAAGAGAGACAAAACGATCACGCCTTTCCTTCACTCTTCTCTACTTCTTTCTCTTTCTCAATCCACCGGGGATTGTGGTCACTGCTGGAGCTCGACATTAGCCAAAAAGCCTAGGAGGGAGGGAGGGAGGGAGAGAGAGAGAGAGGATGTTTGCTGTGTAGTTTTGATTTATCTTTGTTTTGTTTGCTCCTTTCTCAGACAGACTCAACTATGAAACAACAACCCAGCTTGGAATAGTGGCCCATTTGATAGATAATAAAACACACATGGCGAACATTTCCTCCCTCTCTGTATCCTGTTTACATGATGAACAGTCTCAGCGCAAGCCCTGCATGGTCCAGGACAGGAGATTGTTACATAGAAACATAGCCTCTGTCCCTGTCTCTTTTCTGTCTCTGTTCCTCTGGTCCCTAGACCTGGGTTCAAATACTATTTGAAATAATTCCAAAACTGAAAACCCGGCCCCATGTCTGCTGGTCCCTGGGCTTATTACTCACAGTAATGAGAAGGAACAACAAAAAGAGGGCAGAACAGACAGGATGTCAATAGGCACGGCAGGATAACATGGACGTTATTAAGTAATTGAAATGAAGCCTTCACCCACTGCTTCAACAGGATCTGACACCTGTCATAAGTGGTTATGATCACAGCGAGGCGTGACAATCTGACAAATGACCCAACAATGTCACCATGACACCTGAGGGAACGGCGAGGGGCAATCTGACCACTTGTTTGGTTAGCGTAGTATACTTAGCTTAGCTCATTGGATTGGCCATAGCAGTGCTAGCACTTGGCCAATTCTCACACTAAATGAATGGACACAATAAGTGCCAGGGTACGTCAATGTGTTGGCTTTAATGTTCAGCTAGTGGAATATAATAACTCAAAATAGTAAAAAGAAATGATCCAGAACTGATGGAGTACTGAGCTGCTATTTGATCTATATCTGTGCCATATTCATTATTGTGGTTGTCAAGTTTTCCTCAGTCTGCTAATAGAGACATCTGATTTGGTGGTTGGGGGCACTTTTCACTTCCTGGCTCACAACTTCCTTGTCACAACAACAACAACAACAACAGAAACAGAAATAACTGATTCGGAGCCGTTAGCATAACGAGTCTGGATCTGGGACAGCTGGCTAAATCTGACAGGGACAGGCACAGTGTTGAGCTCCCCTCTCCCTCCACAGAACCAATAACAGAGAATGAGTTCCAAATGGCACCCTACTCCCTAATTCATGCATTACGTTTTACCAGGACCCATAGCGCTCTAGTCAAAAGTATTGCACTATATGATAGGGAATAGGGTTGCCATTCAGGACGCAGATAAGCACTCAACAGAACCAATGAAAGAGTGTACATAATAAGGAGAATCAGACACTATCATCCTCGCTGTGTCACAATAAAGATATGGCCTGAGATAACAGCTATTAGCAATACATTCCCGATCATTAAATTACCATGGATAAATTGTGTCTTCTAGTCACAGGAAATTGTATTTTCTCGATTGGTTGGAAAGGAGAGGTATAACTTGATGTGTAGTTGTTTATGCTTAGGGACAGCTTGTGCAGATGAGAGTTGAACACACAGGGGAGTTGAGCAGTGCAGAGCAGTAGCCACTGAAGGGGATAAAATCTCCACCTTATCCCAGGCGATGTATCTGTAACTGAGGGTAATGGGAAGTGACAAGTCCTCACAGTGAAAAAACCTTCTCATTTTAAACCTATTCTCCACCACTCTGTCCTATTCTCTATTAATTTCCCTCAGTGTATATGTGTGGGCGTGCGAGCAAGCGAGCGTGCATAAATGCGTGCGTGTGTCCTCTGCATGCATGTGTGTGCATGCGTATGAGTGTGTGTCCATACAAGTGTGTGTATATTTGTAAATGTGTCTGCGTGCACACACACCTCTCCATCTTTATCCCGCAGGTGTAAGTGTAATGGCCATGGCAGTGAGTGTGTGTTGGACGAGCAGGGGGCTCTGGTGTGTGACTGCCAGCATCACACAGCTGGGGTGGACTGCCAGAAGTGTCATCCGTTCTATCAGGACAGGCCATGGGCAAGGGCCACCGGAGACTCTGCCAACCAGTGTATGAGTGAGTACTGTAGATTTGTTAAGTCACCCTTGGGGGGGGTTATAGTTAGTAAGTACTAATATTGCACGGTATACTGAAACTTTTGTACTTTTTCGATACAAAAATCTGGTTCAACTCATGTTGCACCGAAGTTAACACACTTGAATAATGCAACACAGCATGTACACATTTTGAAACTGTTTATTACTGTTCGCGAAACAATGTCCTTACACCCCTTATGGAAAAACCACATGATTTTACATGTGGAAAATCACATGATTTCACATGTGATATTTCCATATGTTTTGCACATGTGAAATCATGTGAAACCATTCATTTTTGGAAGACTTCACGTGATGATGTAGATTTTCACATGTAAAGTCATGTGAAATATGTGTTTGTGGAACATTTCACATGTGATGATATTTCACTTGTGAAACCATGTGTTTTTGGAATGTGATGATATTTCACAGGACGTTTCACGTGATCGCATAACCATTCACAAAATGTCACATTAGATTTCACAGGTGAAGCCCTGCAAACAAAAATGTGTTTTCATGATACACACACAGTGATATTAACATCCAGTGTTTCCAATTTACATATTTAACACACGACTACATTATGTATGTTTATTTATACAGTAATAATTCAAAATGTCCTTAAGTGGGATTTGAACTCACAACCGCTTGGTTCACGGCAATACAATCTTCCTACTACACCACAATGTCTGTCAGTAGCTGATTTTACCTGTATTCCTTCACTTTGGACTTCAAAGTAAATCTCAGCTTTTGTATTTGATCAAGACCCCAAATATGCTAATGAGCCCCACCAGTACATTGGCCCCACCTAGTGCAGTGATGATCCTTACCTTATATAGGTAACAACACTGTTCCCTAACCATTTTTGTTATATACTTTATATATACAGTAGTTGGAATAAGTATGAACCTGGTGGCATTGCAGAAATATTGATGCACTCCCAACCAAGAAGTTGCAAGTTCAAATCCTCAAAGAATTAATGTCAAGTGTCCTTGAGCACTGCTAGTTTTAAGTTGATGTTATGCTCTTGCCAGTAAATCTGTGGCCATATCTCATTCACAGCTTTTGGTGTAGCTGCACTGTAGCAGGACTTTTCTGATTGCTAGCGACCAAGAGGTTATGAGTTCAAAATCAAATTTAAAGCCCAAGAGTTGTTACAGTACAAAATTATAGATGTATTTTACACTACTTGAAATCAGAATACAGTAGCATACTGTCATTTTATAGAAATAACACCTTGAAATTGTTGTATTTATTGACTTAATTTTTAATGCAACTTTAAGCAAAGTGCAGAAATGTATTCTTGCCTATCTCCATAATGTCTCCAGACCTGGTGGTGCAGCAGGAACTTCAGGTAGCTAGAAACCAAGAGTTTGTCAGTTCTAAATCCCAACTGAGGTTGAGTCCCAAGTAATCCGCATATTGCAGCATACTGTCCTCCAACATAAACACCTGAATTTAGCTGTACAAATACAGTAACTCGTTGTAGATTTACCCATTTTTACTGCAACTAGAGAAAAACCTTCAGGGGACCATAACACAACGTTCTAGGGATGTCTCTGGAACAAACCGGGAACTAGACAAAACCTTCAGGTTACCATTACTGTTTTTGTATTTGTATTTACTATGGATCCCCATTAGCTGCTGCAAAGGCAGCAGCTACTCTTCCTGGGGTTCAGCAACATTAAGGCAGTTACAGTTGAAGTTTACATACACCTTAGCCAAATAAATTTCAAATCAGTTTTTCACAATTCCTGACATTTAATCCTAGTAAAAATTCCCTATCTTAGGTCAGTTAGGATCACCACTTTATTTTAAGAACGTGAAATGTCAGAATAATAGTAGAGAGAATGATTTATTTCAGCTTTTATTTATTTCATCACATTCCCAGTGGGTCAGAAGTTTACATACACTCAATTAGTATTTGGTAGCATTGCCTTTAAATTGTTTAACTTGTGTCAAACGTTTCGGGTAGCCTTCCACAAGCTTCCCACAATAAGTTGGGTGAATTTTGGCCCATTCCTCCTGACAGAGCTGGTGTAACTGAGTCAGGTTTGTAGGCCTCCTTGCTCGCACACGCTTTTTCAGTTCTGCCCACACATTTTCTATAGGATTGAGGTCAGGGCTTTGTGATGGCCACTCCAATACCTTGATTTTGTTGTCCTTAAGCCATTTTGGCACAACTTTGGAAGTATGCTTGGGGTCATTGTCCATTTGGAAGACCCATTTGCGACCAAGCTTTAACTTCCTGACTGATGTCTTGAGATGTTGCTTAAATATATCCACATAATTTCCCTTCCTCATGATGCCATCTATTTTGTGAAGTGCACCAGTCCCTCCTGCAGCAAAGCACCACCACAGCATGATGCTGCCACCCCCGTGCTTCACGGTTGGGATGGTGTTCTTCGGCTTGCAAGACTTCCCCCTTTTTCCTCCAAACATAACGATGGTCATTATGGCCAAACAGTTCTATTTTTGTTTCATCAGACCAGAGGACATTTTTCCAAAAAGTACAATCCTTGTCCCCATGTGCAGTTGCAAACCGTAGTCTGGCTTTTTTATGGCGGTTTTGGAGCAGTGGCTTCTTCCTTGCTGAACGGCCTTTCAGGTTATGTCGATATAGGACTCGTTTTACTGTGGATATAGATACTTTTGTACCTGTTTCCTCCAGCATCTTCACAAGGTCCTTTGCTGTTGTTCTGGGATTGATTTGCACTTTTCGCACCAAAGTACATTCATCTCTAGGAGACAGAATATGTCTCCTTCCTGAGCGGTATAACGGCTGTGTGGTCCCATGGTGTTTATACTTGCGTACTATTGTTTGTACAGATGAACGTGGTACCTTCAGGCGTTTGGAAATTGCTCCCAAGGATGAACCAGACTTGTGGAGGTCTACCATTTTTTTTCTGAGGTCTTGGCTGATTTATTTTGATTTTCCCATGATGTCAAGCAAAGAGGCACTAAGTTTGAACGTAGGCCTTGAAATACATCCTGTCACGATCGTCTGACGAATGAACAGACCAAAGCGCAGCGCGTTGAGCGAACATGACTTTAATTGATAACGCACAAAATACAAAACAAAAGACGACTCGTGAAGTCCACAGTGACAATGACTGTACAGGAACAAAAACCCACAACCACAAGGTGAAAACACACAGTATAAATATGGCTCCCAATCAGAGATAACGAGCTGACAGCTGACACTCGTTACCTCCGATTGGGAGTCACTAACCAAACACGGAAAACAAAACCAATACCAAACACAACAAATGAACACACCCTATACCCAACACAACCAAATGAATACACCCTGGCTCAAACAACACAGTCCCGGAGCCAGAGCGTGACAGTACCCCCCCCTAAAGGCGCGGACTGCGACCGCGCCTCAATACGGGCTAAACAAGGGAGGGCTGGGCGGGCATACCTCCTCGGCGGTGGCTCTGGCTCCGGCCTTGATCCCCACCTCCTCTCCAACCCCCCAAAGTACCCCTGGTCCTGTCTAGCCCCGCTGGCCGGAGCCGGACTGACGACACGCGCCCCTGGCTTGGTGCGTGGAGGACGAACGGGCCTTACCAGGCTGACGACGCGCACCACTGCCTTGGCGCGGGGAGCAGGAATGGGCCGGACCGGGCTGACGAAGCGCACCCTTGACTTGGTGCGGAGAGCGGGACCGGGCCGGACAGGGCTGACGAAACGCACCACAGACTTGGTGCGAGTAGCAGGGACGAGCTGAACCAGGCTGACGACTCGCACCCTTGGCTTGGTGCGAGTGGCAGGAACGGGCTGGACCAGGCTGACGGCTCGCACCCTTGGCTTGGTGCGAGTAGCAGGGACGAGCTGAACCAGGCTGACGACTCGCACCCTTGGCTTGGTGCGAGTAGCAGGAACGGGCTGGACCAAGCCGACGACTCGTACCCCTGGCTTGGTGCGAGTAGCAGGAACAGGCTGGACCAGGCTGGCGACGCGCACCGTAGGTTTGGTGCGAGTGGCAGGAACAGGCCGTGCTGGGCTGGCGACGTACACCGTAGCCTTAGTACGTGGAGCAGGAACAGGCCGGGCTGGGCTGGCGACGCACACCGTAGGCTTCGTACGTGGAGCAGGAACAGGCCGGGCTGGGCTGGCGACGCACACCATAGGCTTCTTACGTGGAGCAGGAACAGGCCGGGCTGGGCTGGCGACGCACACCGTAGGCTTCTTACGTGGAGCAGGAACAGGCCGGGTCGGGCTGGCGACGCGCACCGTAGACTTGGTGCGGGTGGCCGGAACAGGCCGGACCGGGCTGGCGACGCGCACCGTAGGTTTGGTGCGGGTGGCAGGAACAGGCCGGACCGGGCTGGCGACGCGCACCGTAGACTTGGTGCGGGTGGCAGGAACAGGCCGGACCGGGCTGGCGACGCGCACCGTAGACTTGGTGCGGGTGGCAGGAACAGGCCGTGCTGGGCTGGCGACGTACACCGTAGGCTTAGTACGTGGAGCAGGAACAGGCCGGGCTGGGCTGGCGACGCACACCGTAGGCTTCGTACGTGGAGCAGGAACAGGCCGGTCCGTACTGGGAACACACACCACTGGCCTTAACCGGGGATCAGGAACGGGCCGGACCGGACTGGTAACACACCTCAGTCTCTCACGCCGTGCCTCAACTGCTTCCCTCCCTCTACTCGCCAATGGCTCCCGTAATCCGGTAGCCTTCTCTCCACGTCTCTCTGTGGCAGCCTCCTGCTGCCCAGCCGCCCAAGCCATGTGCCCCCCCCCAAAAACTTTTTGGGGTTGCCTCTCGATGTCAAGCAAAGAGGCACTAAGTTTGAACGTAGGCCTTGAAATACATCCTGTCACGATCGTCTGACGAATGAACAGACCAAAGCGCAGCGCGTTGAGCGAACATGACTTTAATTGATAACGCACAAAATACAAAACAAAAGACGACTCGTGAAGTCCACAGTGACAATGACTGTACAGGAACAAAAACCCACAACCACAAG